CACTTATACTCAAGATATAAGTCGTAACTCCAAACCGCTCCTTGAAGTCATGTTCTCCCTGCCATTTAAGATCACATTTTAACTCTAAGATGCATCATCCAAACTTTAAAAGAAATTTAGAGTTAACCGATTAGGTATCATGCTACTATTTACTTAAAGCTCCTAGGAATGGTATCATCACATATACTTGAGATTTGTCATTAGATAATTTGTATATATAGGCTAATTATCATATAAAAACCTTCTATAAGTTAGAAACTTTATAAATCAATATTAACTAGTCATATATAACTTTCATAACTATCTTATTAACTGTTTCCTAAAAGAACTCAGTTTTTGTTTTGCTTTTGAAACAACAGCAAAGTTGTTTCTCCAACGAAACAATACACATATTGATCTGTATTGATCCCTCTTACTAAGCAAATGTCGTTTCACCGATGAAAGAACACATAGTGTTATTCTGTTTTGAATACAATGTTGTTTCAACAATGAAACAACACATGGGTTGATCTGTATTGATATGTATTAATCCGTTTTGATATTATAATGTTATTCCACCGATGAAACAACACATGGAGTTGGTTTGCTTTGAATACAATGTGTTGTGTGCGTTTCACCAATGAACATTATATTGATTGGGTGATTTCAAATGAGGAAAGTGAATTTTCTCAGGAAACACTTGATAAGAAATTTAAGGTGGTTTCTATTTGATTTTCCCCATGTATATACACACACGTGCACATCACACGTATCATGAATTTACATGCATCCTCAAATGCTTAACTTACAAAATTCAGGGATATTACATATATATATATATGTATATATGTGTGTATTTATATGTGTGTGTATGTACATATACATATACATATACATATACATGAAATTTTCATCACCAACTGTCGTTCCATGCGGTTCATATATATACATATCATTCTTTATTTTTTCTAAAGCTTTATTTAGGTTTAACCAATTGATCGATTACATGAGTTCAAATGAAAACTTTTACTAAAAAGGTAACTCGGATTCATAAAATCTAAGGGGTGAGGGTTTACCGAGACCCACTGTCGGTGAAGGGAGTTCCACCCCCATTTGCTTTCCTTACTAGATCTCTTTGAGCTTTCGACCCAAGACACGTCGAGCACCTCATTGTTCGCATGAGCTTGTTATCGAAAATACACCCCGGCAACATCGTGAGCACGGGTTGGGGCACCAACCATGGTTGAAGTGCATTAAACGGTAAACTTTGACCAAAATACCTTTATTTCAATATTTTATTACAAAATACTTATTTTTTTAATGACCTTTGATTTACAAAACATGTTTTATGTAATGACCCTTGATTTATATATATATATATATATATATATATATATATATATCTATGGTTTAGATTAGTGCTAAGGTCCTCAACCTTTTTTTTTAGTATTGATCTTCCATAGATTTATATAAATCAAGTGTCATCACAAAAGAACATATTTGTAATAAAAGCAAAAAATAAGGGTAATTTTTGCCAAATTACAAGGAGATAGAAAAGATATTCTAAATATTAATACATTAAACTCAAACTAAAACTAAATCGGGTAAAACCAAATCACATTTCATATCATACATTTTTTCTTCACCTCCATTACCGAGTTCGATTGGAAGTGAATTGCACAATCGATGATAAGATCGAAGAAACGACAGTAAAGAACCGGTAATTCTGAAAATCGGAATCAAAGGTAGCATTTTTCATATTAATTTAGTTCATTGAAATCAAAAATGAAATTTATGGTTTTTATAGTATTTTTAGTCGATTTTCATGATCAGTTAAACTCCAAAATGCAATTTGATTACCTGAAAAATCAACGATTTTAGACCCATCAATTTCATCTGTTCATTTGTTTCATTCATCTTCTAGACCCATCGATTTCGTGGTGTGAAATAGCTTATAGTTGACGATGTTTTAAATCACGTCTACAAAGTTTTTTTTGATGAAATGACTCTTCTAATAATGTCTCTATTTTCATTCTCGAACTAGACATCATTGTGATGTAACATGTTTTTCTGGGATATAGGATTCTAGTGTTTCATGTTATGAAACAAGCGTTTTATATCATGAAACAAGTCTGAAATAGTATATAGTTGACAATGTTTATATCATGCCTATGAAGTGTTTGATAAAATGTTGCTTCTAACCATGTTTATGTTTTCAGTCCAACTAGATATCGTTATGAAACGACCTGTAACATGTTTTTTGGGGGGATAAGATTATAGTGTTTCATGCCATGAAACAAGCATTTCATAACATGAAATAATAATATTTTTTGCATTCTAATTAGATTAACGTTGTTCACTTTATTAAAACACGTTCAAATATAATTCACCTTGTGAATTGACTTGCATTTGAAATATAATTGAATTCTAATGTTTATAATATGAATCTATTTAATAAGAATAATGATAATCATTTATGTGAATCCTGTGAAATGATAATGTTGTTTCTAATAATGTTTATGTTTTCAGTCCCAAACTAGATATCGTTGTGAAACGGCCTATAACATATTTTTTTAGGGATGAGATTATAGTGTTTCATGTCATGAAACAAGCATTCATATCATAAAATAATATAATTTTCTTGCATTCTAATTAGATCATTGTTATTCACTTTATTATATAATTCACCTTGTGAATTAACTTGCATTTGAAATATAATTGACTTCTGAAATTTATAATATAAATCTATTTTATAAGGATATATAATCATATACCTGAATCTTGTGAAATGATTCAATTGGTGATCAATATGTGTTTCATTTGGTGTCTATGTTTCCATCGAGCAAATATTGAATTTCAATTATCTGAATTTTGAATCTTGATTGACTTTTTTACGGTTCTCATTTGATTATCGTCTCTAGAAGAGGACATAACCCTATATAGGAGGGTCTTCATTTGAGAACCCAGAGCATCATATGTTATTTCACGTGAGCTTTTTTCATTTATGACTTGGAGTTAGTGTTTTGATTAATATATATTTGTTTCACAACGTGAACATTTTTTTATGTGTTTGTGAAACAAAAAAAAACTACAACTAAAATGTTTCATATTTTGAACCGAATATATATGAAATAACCACACTGCAAAACAAATATATGTTAATCGTTATATTAAATTCTAGCCTTGGATGAAAAAAATCATGTGAAACAATATCTTACAATATTAGTTCTTTTAGTTATCATGATTTTTTGGGTTCTCAAATAATTAAGGTCCTATATATGTGTGTGTATATATTATGGCAGGAGATCAATCGAGAACATCTCTATTTTATGATCATACAAGAACACTTCTAGGCTTTCAAAATAATTAACTTATACTAAAAGTTACAATGAATGAAAAAAAAAAATAGTATTTATCAACATAATTTTGTTATCTTAGATTTGTCTATTTCCCATGTTGCAAATATCATCAAAGACCTCTTATGCAGGTGTCTCCCTTGTAGATAAATGATGTAATTTGCTGTAATAATGCTTTGATAAATTGAACACTTCTTATTATATGATTTTGTGGTGATAGATGTGATAATGATGTGATAAATCGAAAACCATTGATAATCACGTCCATAATCATCGGTTATGTTTGTTCATATATGTGATTCACAATTTCTTTTTCAAATTTTAACCATGCATGCCTTTTGATATATTCCTAAAAAACGGTAAACATTTATTTAATATTCTTTTGCTTTTCAATCATTCTAAAACTATGACTAAAAACAGGACAGTAGGCTTACAAGTGTTCTCGCATTTGCGTAAATTACATGTATTCTCGTTTAAACCATTCCTTATATTATATATATGCGTACAGGTTCATTTGCAAACTATGTTCCAATATGAAGCGGAGGGCAAACAAGAAAGTGTTATATGTCCCAATCATTCACTAGATATTTATCATGAATATTCTATTATTCATCTAGAATAGCGTATTATTCATCATAAATAATATGAAAAATCCACATTTAATATTCATGAATGATCCCCATTTAAAAAAAACAAGTTTACAACTAAACTTTATCTATTAGAATAAAACCTTCACATTAGAAGTAAAATTAGTACATGATATTTCCAAATATATCAACTCCTGCCCTTTTTCGCTTTTTAATTAGTTCTTATTTTATTTTGTTTCAAATAAGGGGCAGTTTACCAAACACTTATCCAGTAAGTGTTTATCGGAAAAAATTAACATTATCATTTCCTTATTGGGTAAGATTTTAGTCCATTAAAACGTCATCGTATGCAACAATTTACTCGGTAAGCATTTACCGTGGTAAGAGTCGTTGTCCTCACTTACCAGGTAAGACTCTTGGTCATTGTCTTTCTCTTACCGGGTAAAATTCTTGGTCTCTATCATATTCATCCGATAATGTAATGTGATTTGCTAAACGCTTACTCAGATAAGTATTTGGTAAACGGCCCCTAAATAAGAAAGAATTGAAAATGCTGAAAACACCAAATTGGAAATGAAATTGAGACATGTTTAATTTCATATTCTGTAATAAACAATTTTTTTACCTTTTTAATTGACATTTAATGATCAATTAATCCTAATTCAAAGGCACTTTTAATTATATTTTCTATTTTAATTATAAAATTAAGAAAGCAGATTATATGTTATGATGTTCAAATTTTGTACGGCCACATTAAATTAAAAAAAAATATAATAATTTTTATTTTATTTTTTATCATTTTTTTTTTGAAATTATTTCAGTTATCAATCAAACCCTTAGAAATATCAAAAAAATACCGACCTAAATAATCAAATATATTTTTAGTGATTATTAAATGTTTCTCTTAGAATAAAGTATATCATGTAAAAATAAGGACAATATTTGATAATTTACAAATTTTTAAGTTAACTCTACAACTTAAATATTACCTAATTAATGAATTACAATTTGCATCAATAAATTGAAAACCAAAACATTCTCACAGATTTCTGAATCTTTTGAAAATTAATCAAACCCTAATTTACATGCATCATTTTTTAGATATGCCTACCTTTGTACAGGAGGTACACTTTGTTTTCTCCTCAAAAGGTGATTGCCATATTGATAGATTTTTTTACTATACTAATTACAGCTAGAAGTAATTTACATTTCTTTTCAACTAATTCTAGAAAATAAAAGAGAGAAAAAAAACCTCACAAAAACATGAAAAAGAAGCTTCCATAAACATAGATTAAACCCCCACCCAAACCCCTAAAAAAGCATAAAAATTTAAAGAGAAATTACTTCTACATCTTGGGGTAAAAAGTTAAAAGAAGTCATCACTCTCTTGTAAAGACATGTTCATAAGGTCAACTTGGGCAGAAGCCTCATCAAAAAGCCATTTCTCTAGTAAACTAAGAGGAGGCATTTGATCTTCCATATTTGGTTTACTTTCATCTTGGAACACACTTGTTTCAGGGGAAACTGACTGTGAAACATCTGAATTGCTGTAGTTTGAGTAGTAGTTGTTCTTTTGATGGTTGTGGATTAGGTCATTGTTGTAGTCAAATTGCTGGGAGTTATCATAACCTTCACTTGGAGGACTTGGGAACTGCTGGTTGGTCAAGGAACTCCGAGCCTGTGTTGTCTCGATGCTTTCGGTGCTTGTCTGTGAAGATTTCTTGGAATCCTTCATCCAATTTGGGAGCAGACGTGCAATGTTCTCGGCACTCGAAGCATAAGTAGTTGTACTTTGATTCGAGGGGGGTAGCACTGATTGGGGTTTCGCTGAATTTGTGCACGAGGATAGTTCAGGTAGATTGATAGATTTGTTGTCAAGAGATAGGGCTTCACAGAGTGCTTGTTTGGCCATATGAATATCAGTTTGGAGCCTTCTTTCCCATTGACCTTTGGATATGGTGGTTTCAGATGATGAAGATGAGTGGCGTCCTTTTGAAGTACCATGATGATGATGGTGATAATCACTTTCTTCATCTGATTTTTCGTGGAGCTTGTCCAGCTTCTTCTTCAGATGGGTATTCCAGTAATTCTTGATATCATTATCTGTTCTCTGTGGAAGATATGAAGCTATTGCTGCCCATCTGCCCATAAAAGATTTATAAGTCAATCAGTTGTGACCTGAAAAACTGAATTTTCTACAAAGATGAAACTGAATCTTGAAAGAAAAATCCTACCTATTGCCAAGAAGGGCTTGGAGATGGACAATCATTTTCTCCTCTTGCTCGGTGAAGCTGCCACGTTTGATACCAGGCCGGAGGTAATTAGTCCAACGCAGTCTGCAACTCTTACTGCATCTTAGCAAGCCTGAATTCACGAGAACATGTTACTTAAGATAAACCTAACAAAAAGATACAATAAATAAAGAAGCAAGGAAAAGGTTAAAAGTTTCAGTGATGAAGAAGCTGGTTGCAGGATACAATAAATACCCTAATTTAATGATCTAACCAACCCTCCTCCATATAAAAAAATTTACAAAACTAAAACGAAAACCCAATATCGAAACTGATAAATAAAGTAAAATAGAAAGATATACTGATAAATGAGTAAAAAATAACTATACCAGTATTGGTAGGAACAGATCTCCAATTGCCAGGACCATGTTGTTGGATATAAGAGACTAGGATTATGTCCTCTTCTGGAGTCCACGGCCCTTTCTTCACTCCAATCTTATCGCAGCAAGGTGGTCTTCCCATTGAGCAACTAACTCTCTTTAGTTTGATTCAAGATCAATCCCTTTTTCGTGTTTTCACCTTACTCTGTGTGCTGGTGTGTGTTTTTGAGTCAGAAGTGATGTATATGAGATGGGGTTTTTAGTTAGTTTCTTGTCATTCAGCTAGAGAGAGAAAAGCTCGACAAGAGTCGTAATTTGGCTAAGTATCCCCCCAGCTTATACACTATATATAGATATAAGGAAGAGATAAGAGAGAGATGAAACCCGAGGATGATAAAGAGGTGGTGATGATTTTACACGCTGACCAAAGAGTGGGTTGAAAAAAGCAAAAGAAATGGCTTCTCTCTCTCTCTCATGAAAACCTCAACAAAGAGTCAAAAGAAGACAGCAAGCAGCATTTACTCCGATTTGAAAAAAGTCAGCTGTATGCTTCATGCAGATTGAGAGAGAGATAGACAATGAACCAAAAAGAAATAACTCTACAGAATGTTAGATTTTGAAAACAGAATCTTAAAATTACTTGAATAATTCAAGAATCGTGTATAAAACATTTTTTAAAATCTGTGATTTCGACCCTATTGTTTAGGGTATCACGAAATCAGATTTTGAATAATCCAAAAACAACAAATTTGGATTTCAGGCAAAATCCAAGATCACAAACACATAATACCTTGTTTGTTTATGTTTCTTTAGAGAAAAATCCGGCAGAGGTAACAGTATATATACGAAGAAGATCATATGCAATCATTGAATGGAGCCTATATAGCCACCGACGGTTAATTCGGTTAAATTTTGCGGAAAGTCGTGTCTATTCCCAACAGACGCGATTGTTCGGGTGTTTCGTTGGAAAACAACCACTGGATCCATTTCTTACCACCGCCGGAAACACTACCCCTTGGAACCGCACCAGGGGCGCTGCCCCCGGACCCCGGCGTTCCCGAGATCAACTTAACTTGTCTGAGCATGATCCGCACCTCCGGGCATGAATTATAACTAAGTCTAATTTTGGCTTGTCTCACAATAATTCCGATCATACCAAATGGCTTGATGTAGTAAAATCACCAACAGTCATTGCAGTCCAAAAACTGCACTACTTATGCCCTCAATTTGATTATCATATGAGATTTCAATCGAAAAATAGACCAGCTAATTACAAAATGAATCGGTTATCATCAACGGTTTAATTAATTCCTATTACATTAACGCTCGACAATCGAAGCACGCGTCACTCAATGGATGATAAGCATACGAGTAATTAAGTAATGCATTAAAATATTTATGCAATACAAAATTAAATCTAAAGCAAAACACATGAACTAATCAAATGCATAGCTTTTTATTGCATTTTTACCATCTCTCAAGATCACATCCATACAAAATATTGTAAAGATAGATTGTGGTTGCGCAAATGTACTTAATTAATTAAGTATAATCTTGCTATCCGATAATTAATTAACCCAAGATTTTAGTTAAACTATTTACAAAATCAAAAGTTGAGGAAGTATTATCAAGTCAATATGAACTAAATGCACCTTCAAACGAAGAAAATTGTGTCTCGAAAGGGTATGGGAACTAATATTTTGAAGAGCCAATAGCAAAATTGAAATTGAAATCAAGAAATGCCCCCCAATTTCAAAACCTGCAACCCTTTTAAATGAAGGAAATAAAGAGCAATAAGTGGGTCAAAATAACCAATCACGTTCACCCAAAGTCACCATCTAGAAACGAAATGTAAACATCTGACTTGTATCGTGTAGGAAACGGTAACATTTATTTCTCCCCATTACATTAACTAACAGTACTTTACAGATTAAATCTCACATAAATAGTTTTTCATCCAAAGTCGCATTAATTGTTGTTAAATTACTATTTAATATGTATAAATAGATACAATTGCCGACAAAACAAATTAAACATTAATTTTGTTCTAATTTTTTATTTAATTACATTCTCAAATTGCTCTATGATGTTCACTACCATATGTTTTGATTTTTATTGAGATTGTCATAACAAATTTAATATATTTATTTGATGGTTTTTGTTATATTATCAAATACAATTTTCGAATATTAAACGAACATAAAAAATAAAATAGATATAAAAGAAATGATATGAGAGTTAATAGACTACATGTCAATTGTATATACGTGTTCGTATCGTGTTTATGATCTTTCTCAATAATATGAACATTTATTTAAGCCGAAATATGATTCACATTGTTTGTTTATATGATTGGGCCACTCGAAAGTCTATTGCCTCATGAATTTAAATATATATTTCTTCATAATTAAATATAAGTTTCTGAATTTTGAGATGTGTTGACAATTGAAGAAAAAGATGATTTCAAAAATGTTATGATATTTCATCTAATATCTTTAAGATGATACATTTGTTGAACTAGGTATGGATATTAATCCTTGTTTAAATGGATATTCTAAATATACATATTTTCTCTAAAATCCATATTACCAAAGTTGTCTTAATCCCGAGCCACATGTCTATGACTTACTATTGGCCATATCGTTTTTATTTGTGCAACCTCCATCCCGTAGATTTGTTTGGCCCCTACCGATGTTACCTTCTTGTCACTTGAGAATGATGAAATATGTCATATGACATTTGAAAACCTATATATAGTACCTACTCTTCAATCTAACCAGGACACATTATTGACTACAAAGTGTATACATAGGGAAATGTTCAAACGATAACGCGGGAACATCTTTTTACTATAACCAATCACATATGATATTAAATCAGAGAAGTGGATGATCTTTGGTGCGACTTAGGTTGCGTGCCAAGTCGTATGTACACCACTAGGCCTCTAACGTGTATCATCTCCACGACTCCACACAACCTCTTTAATTTTTGATTCAAAGAAATTCTGATCAAGCCATTGCACATCCTCCTCATATAGTTTAGAAGATTAGATAAGTCAAATTTACTCCTTGACTGAAAATTCTGGCTCATGTTGTTTTTAAAAACTACAGAAAGGAAGCTTTGACTTCATACGGGTTCTCTTTCCAAACCCTGTCAGAAATAACTCTCCTAATTCGGGATCTAATCTTTCTATGATTTATAACTCCATGAAAAAAATGTGTATTCTTATCACCCTCGACGACCCATTTAACCTTTGTTTTTTGCTGAAGATCAGCATAGACTTTAGCCTCAATCTCATACTTTAGCTACAAGGCTTCCGATCTTCTAATAGTTAACTCGTCCGCATTTCCAACATCAATAATTATGTCGATATCGTCTATGACTGACTGAAGCTTTTCCTGTCGTCTTCCAGCTTCTTTTTCTTCAAAAGCCACTAGCACCTGATTTTGTCTTTCAACATCTTTAGTTTTTTTTTGGTTAGTCAACTTACAACTTACATTCAGACTGGATGTAACGCCCATCTCTCCATTCTTACACCACTCAAATTTTAAAGTCTTCCAACTGAATCAAAGAATTGAAAATCTTAAAGAAATAGGGTCGAAATCTATCGATGAGTCTTTCAGGAGAAGAGAACAATGATCGGATATTTCTTAAGGAAGAATAGAACAACATGAGTTAGGCCAAGCTTCCAAGAACTTCTTTGACATAAAGATTATCTTAATGTTGCTGAGTTTAGAACCACTTCTGTTAGATCGGGCAATCTTCTGCCAGTTGATGGCATTTCTGTGATATCAACATTACTTATGAAGTCATTAAACTTACTAATAGCTCCAGAGTCAAAGAAGGAACCAATTTTCTCAGAAGGATTTCTACTAACATTGAAGTCACCAGCAACAATTAGCACCCGCCACTAGTTATTAATGAGATTAAGAAGAGTAGACCAAAGAATACGCTTCTTAGAATATTGTTGAGGAGAATAGACGTTAATGATATAGCAAGCGTCGTTTTTAGACACCAAATTCGCATAAAGGCCACAAATCGATCACCACACAACACATTCTTTTTGGTGAACAGATTTTTGTCCCAGACGACAAAATGCCACCAGACCTGCCTTTAGCATTGATAGTCGCATAATCAAAATTGAAGTCACCCTGAATCTTTTTGACATAAATATCGTCCACATTTTTCAATCTTGTTTCATGTTGAGCCAAAAAATTAACTTTGTGATCTCTATAAAAGACCATTAACCCAAGAAACTTTGTCATCATACCCCACACTTCTGCAATTTAGAGACAAAAAATTAATTGATAATTGTTGTTCACACCTTGCCTAATCACACACTTCTCAATTTCTTTCTTTATCCCATCCATATTAAAGCCCAACATATCACCCACTTCCAAAGTTCTTTCAATCTCAGACATATGATCACTGAATTTGAAGAACTTATCTCCTTACTTCTATCTAGTAGATCTTTGCAGAATTCTAAAACTACATCGAAAAATCTCTAAATCAGTTGCACCCAAAACGTTGTCTTCTTTTATGGTCAATTCCTCTTTTGCCGATCTTTTATTCTTTCTTCCCCTCTTTTAAGGTTTTGAAGATAAACTAGAAATTCTAAAAATAAAATGGTTTTTTGAGTTCGATTGTGAATAGTAACCTTCGGATAACGATTTTGACCATTGGAAGAAGCACTACATTTGTTAGTGTCTATAATATGACACTACGTGGGAGGGAATTGATGATTGGTCTCTTCTGTCAATTTCATCTATTGTTCACCGTCCTTTTTACTTCCATCATCGAAAACCACACCCACAATATTACCATTGGCTAAATCAGGCCCAAAAGATATCTGTTGATCCTCTCTCTCAGTGATTTGATGATAATCCATTTTAATCTATCGATGTAATTTTGTTTTTGTATTTTCAGTTCCAGCGATCATACACTGAGAATGTTCAGTGACCGTTGAGGAACTTGCTTTGTAAATCTCAGAGACAAACAATACTTCAAGAAGACWACRCTCACACCAAAGAACCTTCAGCGAATGTCGAAGACTGAAACTGAAGATTAGAGACTGGCGAGTACGTGATCTGAAGCGGTATTCAGTGATTACAAGCCTGTCTACATATGTGTGAAGACTGCTCTAGCTTCAGCGAACGATGATGAGACCTCCAGGTCATTCCAGCATTCAGCGATCAAAGGAAGCTTGCTTAGCACGATTGTTGTTGTTTTGTCCTTATGCACACAAAGGACAAACCCATACCCTTACTAAAGTTAGTACGGTACGAAGCCGATTAGTCGACTCTTTGT